GTAGCACTAAGCCATGAGTGAATCATACTTATGAGAGCGATGGTAGTATTAGATCCTGGGACCGTTCCATATTGGTGGTCGTCTACTTTTGCGAGAATAGCTGGTTTAATATGTTCCACTACGAATTCCTCTGCGATCTTTGATAACACGGGTGTTAGTGATATTGGGCGTAGGTGTTTATTCACATCTTTAATTGGTTTCTGTTTCGGTATAGGAACAATATCGSCATTTTYCCAAGACTGGGGTAGTCTTTGCTCTTTGAAGGATTGGTTAATAATATCTGCGATTGGATCAGCAAGCAGGTCAGCGTTTTCTTTTGTATTTTCATTTGTATGGCAAGAATAAAGTGACTCCAAACATGCACCTCCATACCCACATATCAGACTGTATATTAGACTTTGGTTCAGTGTACACATTTTGGCTATTTAGCTTCGAGAGATACAACAGCAGAGTACTCCACAAACCAAAGGTCAGTTGAGATCCAGATAATGCGCAAATTTTCATCTGAACAGTTTGTCAAAGCATTGCCATTGCCAAGTTCATTYCGTGATCACTTTGAGCCTGTGTTTAATATAATGAAGTCAAAGTGCACCGGGACTCTACAAGAATATACCACAGATGCTGTGTACAACATAACAACCTCTTTGATAAACCTTCACCGTCTTTCTATTGGCCCAGTGAGAAAAGGTGTACATTGGGTTATATCAGAAAGCACATCTGMTATCATCATAATTATAGCACCTATATCCATTTACTGCATTGAACAAGATTCCTTGAAAGATCTAAAAGAGGCATACAAAACAATATTGAATGGCGTTGATGAACAGTCAGTAACTATTCACTGTGAGAAAATTGCTGGTGTATCTTTTGGAGGGGAAGAGTATGGTTCCCTGGCAACACGAAAAGAACGATCTGCATTTATTTTAGCAAGATGGTGTAGAAATTCAAGASGACAAATTTGACAGTACTGGATTAATGCTWAGACCAKGTGTAGTTAACTATTTCATACGACAAAACATCCAAGTTAATGGACAGTATCATACTTTCATTTTGGCTTCTGTAAGATGGTTCAAAGAACACCCTGGAAGACAACATCTGGGGGTTCCTGTTGAAGTATGGTGTAAAGATCTATATGAAGATAATGKTCCAGCTGATTTTATCCCCTTTCAAAGAATTCATTCAAAGTTTGTGCCTGCAATGGATGTTGTCAAAAATGAACATGWTTTARTTACATGTCCTTTGCCACGCAAGTTGCAATGCTGAACTGATTATTGACATAATTTGTAAATCAAATAGTTATTTACATTAAAGATGCTCTTGTATAAACGATATGTTGCAAATATGAGGTATAGACAACAATAACTTTAATAATAATTGATATAACAGTTTATAATTATTATAATTATAAATATCAGCATATTTCAATGAATGTACACCAAGTTCAAGTTTGTGACACTAAGAGGATKCAAACTGAGTCCAGAAAGCAATTTTCAAATATGAGTTATATTATGCATTTTCAGAGTGTTCAAAACTGTGTACCTAAYATCTCTCTTGGTCTTACCTTATTATTTCTGTTAAATATCAAACTTAATTTTTTGTGTTAGTTCAAATACCTTTACAGGGTAAGCTTGGAGGAATTTCATAATCTCATATTTTTTACATAAAAACATGATATATTACATCAATTTTCACTAACTTTAGAAAACATCACCTTTTTTGCTTTTATACTGTATAAATKATCATATTAAAATTCTCTTCAAGTTAATTCATGTAATAATATTGTAGTTCTTATCTTTCACACTGCAAATKAAGTAAAGAAAACTCAATCTAAACATTTGTAAAGTTACTGAGAATTGAATGTTATAGCTTAAGTGAGAAATGACATACTAGCATACATACATCTTTTCAGTTATCTAAAATGTCTGTACTGACTTGCATCTTATCCTAAATGTGACAAGTATAAACTGAAAAGCTGAAAAAATTCCCTTGTTTATACATCTCACTGCAAGTGAAATTTACAAAGTCAAGCACAAAACAGCTTTTCTTGTACATTTCACCAAATAATGATCCGACACGAGTGACTTTGGTATTTTCTGAATGGTACTTTAGCTTAGAAACAGAAAACAT